GTTGTTTAATCGGTTTGCACACCGTCTAAGTTTTTTTTTTTTTTTTTTTTTTAATGTCTACCTATTTTGAGTTAAAAATTTTGCTCGATTGATTTGATTAATTTTTTGGGTATTTTTGCGCATGAGGACATCTATTCATAAAAATTCTCACCCGATAAAATTTTAAAGTTTATAGAGCTTTGACCAAACATTGATTGAGTCGGAAGTGGTTAGACAACCAAGAATTTGTATTTTTTGTGGATTTGTACGATGCCTTCTTGGATTGCCCACACCATCATAGATAATTATATAAATTAAAATTGTTATCGAGACGATCTTTAATGCCTCGGACTAAACGAAGGTTAATGGACATTGTCCTTAATGGACAACCTCGAACTGTTCTATAAGTACCCATGGGGTACACATTGCTAGGACACACTTACATGTTTGGTGAATACCTTGTCGAGCAAACTAGGAAAGAAATACATGGCATGGAGAGCAGTAAATTGAAAGTGGCATCACATGTGACACTAAATTATAAGTCTAATTAAATACAAAGTGATACTATTTAACTAATCGAGATATAAATCTCAGAGCAACAGAACTAGCGGGTTGTGTTTTGGAAAGGTGATACCAGCTGAAGACGTGGTGCTAGCAATGAACTAAAGTCCACATTAGAAATGGCACAAATGTGATTAGTCCAATGGACTGGTAGAGGCGACAGACACCTAAAACTGTGCATTTGGAAATCAAGTAAGGTAGCAATGAATGTTGATGATCATGGTAGACATGGCAATTTGATTTGTGATCCCCCCCAATGTAACCAGAGATTGCGGCGGTGGTGGTGGCAGGATCAGTATGGCATTTCTATCTTGACCTTTAGATTCTATCCGTGTTCTTCCTCGATAAAGAAACGAGTGCTTCAATTTTTGAGGCCAGGAAATCGGATGGGAGCAAAAGCTCATAGGCCCACAGCGCCTATTGGTGCGGGGACGGGTAGATATTGATGACAATTAGGGTGTGGCTGAGAATGTGGTAACATGCACAACTCCAGATTTGATAGTATATATCAACAATTGTTAAAAAATTTTGCAACTCAGGCGCACTTCATTTTACCCCCAAATTAAGCACTGAGCCTAACATAAAACCAAAGGTTGTACCCTTCCAAAAACGTAGTCCAAGATTGAGTTCAAAAATATCTCTTAATCACAGAAAACAATTTGGCTCTACACAATCAAATAACCAATCAATTCTGGTTTTAAACATAATTCCACACAAAACTACAGCAAACATCTCAACGATTATAGTAGCTGAACCATGACTCCACAAAAATGTTTCAAAGCACAATTTCATTCCCTATTTCTAGAAATTAAAAAAAATTAAAAAAAAACCTCAAAATGTCACGACACCAAGTTTGGACAAAAAAGGTATTTACTAAGAGAGTATGTCGAGTTCATGGGGCATAAAATCTTCACTTGGTCGATAGAGTACAAGCACAAACTAATCACTTGGCCGTGTTAGGTTTAATGCCTCAAAATTGGGTTGAAATCTCAGAAGATCACGTTTCGCTTGAATTTGGAAAGAAATCAAATTACATCCAAGATTTTTTCCTTTTACACGATTTTACCTAATTCTAGTATATTTTCTTAGCTTTTAGGACTCCATTCGATTTATGGACGTGACCTATAAATTAGAGATTCCTTTGTCAGTTTTAGATGAAGCCAAATTGTTGTCATTGCAATTCTCTCCATATTATCAGGTTTAATAAAATTCATCGTTCCTCTACTTAATTTCTTTTTTTCAACTTTACTTTAATCTTGTTTTCGTGGTGCGATCTTTAATATTTCATAATTTTCATTAATCTCAATCTTGCATCGTCTTTGGGATCAACAAGTGGTATCAGAGCTAAGTTGCAGGTTCTTCATGATTTGGTTGAGATTTTTCAATGATGAATTCATTGAAGTATGAAATTTCGCTGCTGGATCACAATACAATATTTTCGCCGTGGCAAGTAAAGGTGATGGCTGTGTTGACGCAGATAGATATTGACGATGCTTTACTGAGTTTTGAGAGAATGTCAGCAAATTTGTCTATGGAGGAGAAACAACGAAGGGATCGAAAGGCTCTAGCACAGATTCATCTTCACTTATTCAACAATATTCTACAGGATGTCTTGAAGGAGAAGACGATGGTTGCTTTGTGGCTCAAGCTGGAGCAGTTGTGCATGACAAAGAGTTTGACGAGCAAACTGACTTTAGAGCAAAAGTTGTATTCCCATCGTATGGTAGAAGGAGGGTCACTGTAGGACCATCTTACTGTGTTCAAGGAGATTATTGCAGACTTAGAGACGTTGGAGGTAAAATATGATGAAGAGGATCTGGCCTTGATCCTGTTGTGTTCGCGACCCAATTCTTTTTCGTCGTTTCGTGATACTATATTGTATAGTTGTGACACACTGACCATTGAGGAGATATATAACGCCCTATTCTCAAATGAGAAGATGGAGTTGTTGGTTGGAGATCCTATATTTAGAGGTGGGGATGCTCTGGTTACTCATGGTGAACAACAAAAAGAGAGATTGAAGGTGAGATATAGCAATGTGTACTGTTATTACTGCAAGAGGAAATGACACATTGAGAAAGATTACGACAAGTTGTAGGGTAAAGGTGATTTACATGCAAATCATGTGGGGCAATCATGTAACGAGACTAACATTGTTGAGAGTTTTTCGGCTGATGGAGATGTAATGTTGACTGTATCTGATGGGAAATCCAAACTTGGGAAGTGGATTCTGGATTCTGCATATTCGTATCATATGCGTCCTAATAGGGCTTTGTTTTAGACATATTAGACGGTAAAGCAGGGTAGAGTTGCCATGAGAAACAACCAATCTTACCGGGTTGCAGGAATCGGTCGAGTCAAATTGAGGCTACAAGATGGGATAGTGAGGATACTTGATCAGGTTTGCCATGTTTCAGACTTGACAAAGAATCTTATATCGTTGAGTGCTCTGGATGCAAAAAGGGTATAAATTCTCTGGTGGAGGTGAAGTCTTGAAGGTCCGAAGGGGTGTCTAGGTTGTATTGGAGGGACGAAAAAAGTATCAGCTGTACATCTTGCAAGGGAACGCAGAACCAGTTAACAAAAATTTGGACAAGTTCAATACCGTGGCGAAAGTTCAGTTTGGTACAGTACCTCCTGTGGCGAATTCTGAGTTGGTTAAGAACACTGCTAGGGAGAGCGTTGGTGATTCCGCTTTGCCACCAATTTCAGCGAATACACTGTGTTCAGTTGTTAGGGTTGGACTCATGGAGCGTAGGTATAGTGGGGTCAATAATGTCTGGAATGCTTTAAGGGACGTTGAAGGTGACAGTTTTAGCAAGGGGCCTTCTGATCGAGCATGTAGTACGGTTTCTGTTACAGGGTGTGCTTCGACCCTATTTGGCCAACGATAATTCCTTGGTGGAATTTTGGGACCCCAGGATTTGGGTTCTGGTGTCACCTGTGGACGTCGTGCAGAGGACGATGGTTTGGTGATGGAGATTTTGGTTACTGTGTTAAGGAGATTGGTTAGTTCATTTCGAAGTAGACGGATTTGAAATTTTGAAGTTTTGTTTGTTGCACCGAAATTTTGAGTTAAGGTGGAGATTGTTAGGTTTAATGTCTCAAAATTGGGTTGAAATCTTGGAAGATCACGTTTCGCCTGAATTGGAAAGAAATCAAATCACATCCAAGATTTTTTCCTTTTATGCGTTTTAACCTAATTCTAGTATATTTTCTTACCTTTTAAGACTCTATTAGATTTATGGACATGGCCTATAAGTTAGAGACTCCTTTGTTAGTTTTAGACGAAGCCAAATTGTTGTGTCGTTGTAATTCTCTCCATATTGTCGGGTTTAATAAAATTCATCGTTCCTCTGCTTAGTTTCTCTTTTTTTACTTTACTTTAATCTTGTTTTCGTAGTGCGATCTTAAATATTTCATAATTGTCATTAATCTCAGTCTTGCATCACCTTTGGGATCAACAAGCTAGTATAAAGGCAAGCAAACCTCTCCACCTTCAAATTGTATAACAAAGGTCACACACCGAAAAATTAAATGCAATCTGCAAACAAGTTATTCTCTTTATGAATGGAAAAGTTCTATGAATCTTTAATGTTACGTGATGTGCAAAGCGAGAATTTCGATAGCCAATCTTCATCAGTTGTCCCCAAACCTTATGGAACTGAATATATTCAATAAAAACCATAATAGTTAAATTCTTGTAGTGATTACCGAATTGGTACAATGTACTGAGGGCTAAAGAAGTACAATAGAAATGACTAACTTCGGTCTATTGTTTATTCTTTAATATTGTACAATTAATCTTACCAAACATGACATTACATTACTAAAGCTATATAATTATTTAAATGTTCAAGTGAGTTACTGCATATGAAAGCATTATTCTTGTTCTTAAATTTGAGGAAGAATCGTGCCATTTCATAGCTTTTGATGACATTCTAGCTGAGCTTGTTGATGAGTAAAAGGAATTTGCTCTCTCTGAGGTTGAAAGTTTGACATGTTGAGCAAGGACCAAGGATTAACCAACATTTCAAAACCACAACACAAACAGTAAAGAATAAGTGCAGAAAACGTAAAAATCAACACAAAGATTTTTCGGCCATGGCTCCAGTGGTTCGGCAACCACATCTAACGCCTAATCCCCTCTTGTGCATCCATTATAAATGGATTTAGCTTGGTTGCACTAAAATATCCAAAAATCGGCAACAAGAATACAAGACTATTCCAAAAAAAATATAAGAACAAAGTCACAAAGACTTATCTCATCAAGATCCATGAAGGAATCAACTCAGCCCCCTAAAATCTCCAGAAAACCCGAATTGCTTTCACAAGAATCACTCAGATTCTCACCAACCAAAACACGGCAGTACATTACTACAAAGATCTATAGTATTACAAAGGGTTTTCACTAGTTTATATGTTGAAAAACTCAAGGAAATCGAACCATAATCACAAAGATGGAGGAGTTCTTAACAGAGAGAGATCACGAAGAGACTGACTCAAAACTAAGAAAAATCTCTTCAAAATCCACCAGACGAATGGTCACTGGAGTCTCAAGTAGCTGGAAGGATCTAGAAGCAGATCAAACGACTAGAATGACACCATGTGTCAAGATCCAGTTAAATGTACCCACTAACGAAGTTGCCATTTTATAAACACGACTTCAAGAATTTGGAAGCACAACCTAATAAGTATGAGATCACTGGTTCAAAACTTAACAAGGTTTTAAGCAGTCATTAAACGTGCCTCAAATTTTACACTTGTGACAGTGGAAAATAATATTTCAGTAATATGAAGCGGATAAAATGAACTAAGTAATGCAAGCATCTATGTATATCATCTTTGAGTTGTTATGATGTGCTAGACCTCAAGGCACAAGTGAATAAAAGCTGAAAGGGAGAGTACCATTGTGAAGTTAAAATTACAAGAAATGTAAAACGCAACTTCAAGCTACAGACTATTGTTGACACATAAAAATTCAGCCCAAATCGAACAGCCCAAGGAGTGAAGCACAATTGAAGGATTCCCAAATCAGATAGCTCAAAGAACGAAGCCCAATCAAACAAATCAAGATGAAGGCCCAAGAACGCGGTAACGCCATTGCCCAAGTTTGCAAGTCGCCCAGAATCTGAGCGAATGGAGTGTCATACAGTCGCCTAGAGCTGTTACTCTATTCTCGCCCAAACCTTTAAGTCGCCCAAGGTCTTAACAAGCATAAAGCGTCGTGGTTATCAAGAAGTGCAGTTATCAAAGCAGTTATTAAAGCAGCCCCATCACGTTCCACGATTCAAGGAATTCAATCGAAAGTGGTTGAACGATGAAGAGTAATGGCAGCAGTTAAAAAAGGCAGTTTTCATGACAAGTTGGCTATTACGAAGAAAGTGGGCAGTTATAGGACGATCAAGCAGTTTTTAGGGCGGTTGATCACAAAGAAATCGTCCATGAAGTAAAAAAGGGAGAAAGGACATAGAAGCAGGGGACCGAATCAAAATCTCTCGAACAGAGAACATGTAATTTTCATTTCCTTAGCTTAGACTTAAACACTTTTCTTTCAGTAACTAGTGTGCTTGCGCCCCTTGGAGGCACGTTGTTTTTAATTTCTAATTGTAAAGTGATCGCCAATAAAAGAACACCCCTTTTTGGGACTTTGTCTCAAGAGGTTTGTCCCTTACACAATCGTCTGATCATTTTTAATTGTTAGCGACTAACCCGCGCGAAACAATTTGGCACACCCAGTGGGACAGTGGTGTTAGGTGTTGAAAGTACAAAAGGTGAAACAATATGCCTCAGAGATCCGATAAGGAAGCAGCAAGTTAGGGAGGAATCCAATCTGTGATCGAGCGATATGAGGAGTAGCATGCCTCTCAACGAACAGATGGACAGAACCAGAGAAGTAACAGTCGTTACGAACCAATGACGGAGTTGAGTCTTCGAACCATGCGTGCATTACTTGGAGAACTCACACAAGACGTCGTTGAACAAGTAAATCTTCGAAGTATTCATAATATGGAAAGATTTACACAAAATGGGAATGTACACTATGACAACATGGCTAAACAACTAAAGACGTTGAACGAAACAATGAATAAGTTAGTAGGCCAAATATGTCAACCTGCTATACCTCTTACAAACCACTTTCAAACTAGGACAATTGTGGGACAAATCCCTCGGTCCTAAATCCGAATCAGGGGGTAGAACCGCTTTCTGGTCCCTCTACTTCAAATCAAGGGGGTACTACAGTGCCAAATCAGAACAATGGTAGTAGTATGCCTAACTTGGGGGGTAATCCAAACATAAGAGATAATGTCCTAAACAATGGATAGCAGACCCCACGTGTTAATGAGAGAATAGATGTTCAGGCTAATGGTAATGGCCCTAATTATGGTAATTTTGTTGCCAATCAAGGACCAAACATCAGGCCTCATGCAAATCAACCGGTTAATCAGCCTGTAGGAATTCCATATGATCCCAATGTCATGTTGAGGAACCAGATTATGGAAATCGTACAGGATCAGATGGCTTTTGGGGTGCATCCCGTCATTAGGCCGACGTATACAAAGCCATATCCTGATTGGGTAGACCAAGCATATCCATGGCCTAGAGGGTACAAAGTGCCAGAATTCTCACTGTTTACCGGTTTAGGAGAGGTGTCTACTCTAGAACACATAGGGCGATTCACATTGCAAAGTGGTGATGTAACCGATTACCATAAAATGAGACTTTTCCCTAGTTCGTTAACAGGAGTAGCTTTCTCCTGGTTCATCAATTTGCCAGCGAACTCTGTTCAAATATGGCAACAATTGGAACAATTGTTTCACGCTCAATTTTATAAAACTGAGTCTGACGTCACTTTGGCTGATTTGGCGAACCTACGTCAAATGCCAAACGAATGGGCAGAAAGTTTTCTCCAAAGGTTCAAGACAGCAAGAAGCAAATGTTTTGTACCTCTGCCCGAAAAAGAATTTGTCAAAATCGCTCTGGGCTGCTTGAGCTTTGATTTAAAAAAGAAGTTCCAGGACAAGAAATTTTCTGACCTTTTCCAGTTGAGTGCGAATGTGATTAGGTATGAGCGACTGATAAGAGAGGAAGAACAAATGAAAAATTTCTAGTAAAGGGACTTATTACAAAGACCCAAATTTTGACGTTCATACCATCGACGACGAGTCATACGATCAGGCCGAAATGTGTTTGGCCGAATTGGTCAAAGGAGATATATATATTTGTCCTATAATGGCCAAGCCTAGACCATCGGGTAAAGATGAGCCCATAAAAGATGGAAACATAAAGGCTAGAACGTTCTCGTTCGATGTGATCAAAGCTGACCTTATATTTGATAAATTATATAGGGATAAGCAGATAAAATTGAGCGATAAGCACAAATTGCCAAACCCTGAACAAATTAAGGGTAAAAAATATTGTAAGTGGCATAATGCATGGTCACATTTGACTAACAATTGCTTGGTTTTCCGCCATGTATTGCAGGATGCCATTGAATCAGGACGAATTACGTTCGATGATAAGAAGAAGATGGCAATGAACGAAAATCCTTTCCCTCAGCCACTTGGAATAAACATGGTGACATCTGGATTTAAAAACAAGTTGCCAAAATTCAAGTTGGTCATAGATGAAGGAGAAGAGGATCCTAGACCACATCCCAGCGTATTTGAACGAATCAAGGGGAAAGAACCAAAAAAGGACAAGGACGTCCTGTGTGCAAGGTGTAAAAGAGAAGTGAATGGAAATATAGAGAAACCAGGAACATGGCAGCATCCTCATCGTCCTACCTTCTTCCCAAACACTCAGCCTGGTAGAGGGCGAGGAACGTCATTCTATAGAGGACCGCCTTTTGAGAGGCAGTTCAGGCTAGCAGATAATGGAAGAACATTCAGGCCGCAACATCGCCGGCCAAATGTATGGCATTCATTCCAGTACAGTACAGGAAGGGCAATACCCTTCGATGAGATGACTAGGACCCAACAAAGGCATTTCCAATGAAACTACGGACGGATGATGAGGCAGCAACAGGAAATGCCACATCCTGAAGCGCCTATACTACTCAAGGTAGCCAATCAAAATGTCCTCAAAAATAATGAAGAGATCGGTACAGGTGAATCAATGAAGGAACTACCAGAAACTTCTTCTGGGAGATCAAGGTTTGAGCGAGACAGAAGGGATGAAGATGATCCAGATCAGCCCCTCACTATCCAATTCGATACGTTGCCTCCTGTCATGGCCAATAATTACTTACTGGCTAATGAATTCAAGAATAAAGAAAAAGAAGAAGAGAGGGAAGATAACGAAGGAGAAGCCTGTGTGCTGGTATGTGAAGAAGGCCAGACTTCTAGAGAGGCCTACAATGATGAAGAGGACGACGGGATGACAGACATTGAAGAAGAAATCGACTTAGAAGCAGAAAGAAGAAAGAGAGGAGTATCGCGCAATACTCTGTTTAAGCAACTACATCAAGAGGGAGTTCGCGAAGTAGACTTGTTGGGGAAACCATCTGGGCGTCCTTTCGATTTCTACGTACTGTACGGGACACCCAAAAGGAAGAAGAGAGTGCCTCACTCTGAAAAGTATGGGTCACCTCCAAGAATAATGCCCCCTCCAACAGGTTGGGTAACTGATAAGGAAGCATTAGAAAGAAGTAGGAAGGAAGTTCAGGAGACAGAGGATCAGCGTGATATACTGCACGTCGACTTGTCACAGGGGGATAATTCAACAGAAAACAAGCAAGAAGTAGAAATAGAGGCTGCCGAAAAGGTTATTTTTAAACGACCAGCTATGAAATTGACAAAACACTTGAGGCCATTATACGTTAAAACTCTAGTTAACGGCGTCCCAGTGGCAAAAGTGCTTGTCGACAATGGAGCAGCTATAAACACCATTCCATCTAGGATGATGAGGAAGTTCGCAAAGACAGAGGGTGACATGATTCCTACAGAAGTCATCCTCACTAGCTTCAATGGAGGAGCAACTTCAGCTAAGGGAGTTATGCCATTGGACATAACTATAGGGACAACTACTAGGACCACTATCTTCTTTGTAATAGATGGTCCTACTAGTTACAATGTGCTACTAGGAAGAGATTGGATACACGGAAGTCGCTGTTTACCCTCATCACTCCATCAATGCCTAATCTTTTGGAATAACAAAGGCGAAGCAAAGGTGGTACAGACCGATCATAGGCCTTTTGTCGCAGAAGGAAACTCGGTGGAAAAGTTCATGTACGAAGGAAACTATGGACCTGTCAGGGTAGTACAAGACGGGGAAGAAACTCAAGTTGTCGCACAAATCGAAGAACCGTTCTCAGTGGATGCACTCACTGAGATGTTCAAACAGATGAGGCCAAATATAGTGGCCCTGGAAGAGCCAGTGATTGGCAAAAGAATAATCAAGGAATCTTGAATGGATTCTGATTTACGAAAGCAAATGGCCGACATTCAGGCCTTCAAAGCCAGACTGATGGCTTTCAATAAGGAATGCAATGACAAGGCGAAGGAAGAGACTGCCCTAAAAGCGCTGAAGGACAAGTTGGCAGTATTCGAGTTAGAGCAGAGCATTAGCCGAGAAGTCAACAAGGTGGACTGTTTAGAAGAGGAAGTACTTACAAGGGAACTGGACGACGAAGTGATGCGGATCGCTAAACCTGGATACGCTCAAGCACAAGACCCTCTGATCAAAGTAAATATTGGCAATGAAAGAGAAGATCGTCCAACATTCATCAGCCAGATGCTCGATCAAGAGGTTAGTAACAAATTAATCGCTTTGCTAAAAGAGTACAAAGATTGCTTTGCTTGGGAATATGAACAAATGCCTGGTTTAGATAGAGACTTGGTGGAACATAGGTTACCAACTAAGCCTAACTTTAAACCTCATAGGCAGCCTCCTAGACGTTTTGCTCCCAACGTACTCCCCGAAATCAAGAAAGAGATAGAGCGATTATTGAAAGCAGGTTTTATAAGAACAGCCAGATATGTTGAATGGTTGTCGAATATCGTGCCAGTACTAAAAAAGAATGGTAAATTAAGGGTGTGTATAGACTTTAGGAATTTAAACTTAGCTACACCCAAAGATGAGTATCCAATGCCCACGGTGGATTCTTTAGTAGATTCGACCTCCGGACATGTCATGTATTCTTTCATGGATGGGTATTCAGGATACAATCAAATTTACATAGTTGAAGAAGACATACACAAAACTGTCTTTAGATGCCCTGGGTCTCTAGGATGTTTCGAATGGGTGGTTATGCCTTTCAGCCTAAAAAATGCAGGGGCAACCTATCAAAGGGCAATGAATTTAATCTTTCATGATATGATAGGCAAGTTTGTTGAAGTGTATGTAGATGACATAGTAGTCAAGTCCATTAAAAAAGAGGACCACTTCGAACAGTTAAGATGTTCATTTGAGCGAATGAGGCAATATAAGCTAAAGTTGAATCCCTTGAAGTGTGCATTCAGTGTTAATGCAGGGAATTTTCTTGGTTTCTTAGTACACAAGAGAAGGATTGAACTTGATAAAAATAAAGCGAAGGCCATTTTAGAGGCCAAACCACCTAGCAACAAAAAAGAATTGCAAAGGTTTCTAGGCCAAGTAAACTTTTTAAGACGCTTTATTTCTAACTGTGCAGGGCGAACTAAAGTTTTTTTGCCGCTCTTAAAGCTGAAAAATCAGGACAAATTCGTCTAGAAAGAAGAACATCAAAAGGCTTTTGAAAGCCTGAAGACATATCTGTCAAGTCCACCAGTGTTGGTGTCACCAATCCAAGGACGGCCAATGAAAGTGTATTTATCGGCTGAAAAAGAGTCAATAGCTGGAATGGTCGCACAGGAAGACCAATTTGGTGAAGAAAGGGCAATTTACTATTTAAGTAGACGGTTAACGAAATGTGAATGTAATTACTCTGCTATTGAAAAATTATGTCTTGCATTGTATTTCACGTGTACAAAATTAAGGGCTTATTTACGGCCCGTAACCGTTTATTTAATTTCTAAAGTAAATTTAGTTAAGTATATGTTCTCGCGCCTTATTTTACACCAAAGGGTAGGCTTTTGGACACTAGCTTTATCAGAATTCGAAATACAATATATACCTCAAAAGGCAGTCAAAAATCAGGCTTTGGCTAACTTTCTAGCCGATCATCCATGCCTTGATATGCCTGAAGAAATCGAACTAGATATCAATTCGTTCCAGTTAAAACCTTGGGTGTTGTATTTCGATGGATCAAAAACTTCTAAAGGTGCAGGAGTAGGAGTAGCATTGATTAATCCTTTAGGGATTTGCTACAAGTTCGCATTCACTTTAGACAGAATGTGCACCAACAAGCAAGTCGAATATGAAGCCTTAATTGTAGGCCTAGAACTAATGATAGATATGGGAGTAAGAAATGTGATTGTTAGGGGCGATTCTCAATTGGTGATCCATCAATTGATCGGTGATTTTAAATGTCAAAGTGATTCCATTATAAGTCAATACGAGATCGCCCAAGAATTATTAGAAGAATTCGACCCAAGTAGAACTCATTACGTTCAACGTCGGCGGGCGCGAGAAAACTTGGAGTTATGTATGGGCGACTCAGAAGTTTCTGAAAGTCATCAAAACTAAAGGAGTCGCCAGCTTGAGATTGTGAAGCAGCCATTTGAGAAGGAACGAAGTTTTTCAGGGTTGCGTAGCTGGGAAGCAAAAGATGAACAGTAAATCATGAGAGAGACGCAAATAATTTGAGGCGTGGTTTAATGGTGCAGTGAAATGGCGTGTTTGAAGTTTATAAGGGTTTACAAAACGACGCACCTTTTCAAGTTATAGAAGAAAACAATGATTGAAATTCTTGGGAGTTTCAAATGTTACTAGAAACACAAAGTGAATATGGCAAAATTTAATAATTATTATTAATTCTGCCATATTGGGGGGTAATTGTTGACACATAAAAATTCAGCCCAAATCGAACAGCCCAAAGAGTGAAGCCCAATTGAAGGATCTCCAAATCAGATAGCCCAAAGAAGGAAGTCCAATCAAACAAATCAAGATGAAGGCCCAAATAGGGAGGCCTAAGAACGCGGTAACGCCATCGCCCAAGTTTGCAAGTCGCCCAGAATCTGAGCGAATGGAGTGTCATACAGTCGCCCAGAGCTGTTACTCTATTCTCGTCCAAACCTTCAAGTCGCCCAAGGTCTTAACAAGCATAAAGCGTCGTGGTTATCAAGAAGTCCAGTTATCAAAGCAGTTATTAAAGCAGCCCCATCACGTTCCACGATTCAAGGAATTCAATCGAAAGCGGTTGAACGATGAAGAGTAATGGCAGCAGTTAAAAAAGGCAGTTTTCATGACAAGTTGGCCATTACGAAGAAAGTGGGCAATTATAGGACGATCAAGCAGTTTTTAGGGCGGTTGATCACAAAGAGATCGTCCATGAAGTATAAAAGGGAGAAATGACATAGAAGCAGGGGACCGAATCAAAAACTCTCGAACAGAGAACATGTAATTTTCATTTCCTTACCTTAGACTTAAACACTTTTCTTTCAGTAACTCGTGTGCTTGCGCCCCTTGGAGGCACGTTATTTTTAATTTCCAATTGTAAAGTCATCACCAATAAAAGAACACCCCTTTTTGGGACTTTGTCTCAAGAGGTTTGTCCCTTACACAATCGTCTGATTCTTTTTAATTGTTAGCGACTAACCCACGCGAAACAACTAAAGTCAGCTAGAATTATTTGTTATTATGCAAAATTCTTACAAATAACTTTTTTGTCACTTAACTACACTGTAAACGTATTTGAATTTTAAACAACATGAGAATTGATGTTACCTCAATAATCAATTCGCTGGAAATCAAGAATCATCTCTTTCAAAAGAATTTATTATCTTAATTTTTCGTGCAAAATAAATTACACTAACCTGCAGTTTGTCAAACTTAGCAATTAGCTCTTCCATGTTCTCAACATTCACCCCATCAAACCTGAAGAAGGATTGTGTAATAAGGAACCCGTTGATACAATGTTTTCAAATGCTACAACTCTAGCTTTCTCAGCTAACAGAACTCTAAAAATTGTTTAAATCCAGCAGAGACGGTTATAGCTTTTTGGTAACTACCTCTGGGCCAGAGGAATCTAAAATCCCCTGACAATTTGCATTCCCAGAATGGCTACGACAAGTGAGAGAATATCTCTATCAGAAATAGAATTATTTGCAGTAAAAATGGTGAGAGATTAACTGAGAAACCACTTCAGATGATGTATGTTGTCTTCGATGTGATCACACTCATTCCTCAATAATTGAAGTTGCTGCATAAATGAACTTTTAGAGTTGACAGCAAAACTACCACATCTTGAACAGGAAAATAGGAAAATTGTTTACAAATGAAACGACCATACTATTCTAGAATGAGATAAATGTTAGATATTTTTCATCATTTTGCATTTATTTATTTCTGTTTTGCGAATGATTTGCCGCCCCAACTAGTGTTTTGCGAATTATTTCAGAAGTCTTTGAATAGGTGCATCTGTTCGATTTTTAACAGTCACCTCCAGTAGATGTATGCAAGGATTTCAAGGGACACACCTATTCAAACGGTTGCCTCAATTTCTATAAATTCTGGGCCAATTCTCGTTTGCAAAACACATTAAAAAATTTGTTCTTCTTTCTTTCTCTTAGCATCAATCAGTTATTTTCGAGTGTCTTCTTGGTTTGATCAAATAGTCACAATTTGAATCAAACGTCTCCATTGTATCCTGAGAGAGATTTTCTATCATACCCCAGTTGTGACTTTGTTGGATAGGGGAGAAATATCTCTTAAAAGATAACATTTTTTCGTGCTTTGGAATTCATTAAGTATTCAGATTTCCCTATATTTTTCTCAACAGTTTTAAGAGATGTCTTCGTTCCAAGATCTGACAGTAAATGAATCTGTGGCACCCTTAATTCAAGTCATGAATCAAGATTTGATTCGTCTTGATCGGTTTGATGGACATAACTACACGCGTTGGCAAGGAAAGGTTTTATTCTTCTTGACAGCAATCAAACTGTCCTACATTTTGAGTGATGATCTCGCGCCTATTCCAGAAGAAAAAGCAGATGATTCAGATGAACGCAAGAAGGAATTACAGGAACAGTGGAAGAAATGGAAGGATGATGATTTTCTGTGCAAAGGCCATATTCTGAATACTCTATCAGATTACAGGGCACACAGGACTATCGGAACAACAAAAGAATTGTGGCTGGCATTGGACAACAAGTATCGTATTGAAGAAGCAAGCAACCAGAAATTCTTGATCGGTAATTACTTTGATTTCAAGATGACGGACAATAAGTCTGTTCTTGCCCAGGTACATGAATTACAACTTATTGTTAGTAATCTTAAGAATGCTAAAATTGTCTTGCCTGATACATTTCAAGTTGGAGCCATTATTGCAAAATTACCAAGTTCATGGAATGGCTATAAAAAGAAACTCAAACATGATGAAACCAAGCATACCCTGGAATCCCTCATGCGTCATTTGCGTATTGAGGAAGACTCTCGTAAACGAGAGAATAATGATCAAGTGGCAGAAAAGGCAAACATGGTTCAAGGAAATCATAAGGGTAACAAGAAGCGTAAAAACTCCAGTTCTAAGGAAGATTATGCAGAAACCTCTAAGAAAAAATTCAAAGGGGATTGTTTCTACTACAAGAAATCTGGTCATATTGCTCGTGAATGCCGACATCGAATAAAAGATGAGAAGGCAAAGAACGAAAAAACAAAGAAAGATCAAGTAAATGTGACTGATGGAAATCATGATCCAAACTTTGTTGCTGTGGTGGAAGAAGCCAACTCAATTGGATTTGAAGTAGGATGGTGGCTGGATACCGGAGCTACAATTCATGTAAGTAATGACAAATCTCAGTTCAAGACTTACAAAGAATGCACCGATGGAAGAGAAGTAAAAATAGGTAACAATGTTCATACCAAAGTTGTTGGAATTGGATCGGTGGAACTGAAATTCACTTCGGGAAAGAATCTGACTTTGGCAGAAGTTCTCCATGTGCCTGAAATGACCAAGAACTTGATTTCTGGGGATCACCTTAACAAGGCAGGTTTTAAGCTTGTAATTGAGTCTGATAGCCTTATAGTATCTAAGAATAATGTATTTGTCGGAAAAGGTTACTCATGTAATGGTATGTTCAAAATGAATCTAATAAATGATAACTTTGCTTATACTATTGATTCTTTACCTTTATGGCATGCTAGATTAGGCCACATAAATTATAAATCCATTAAGAACATGCATAATTTAGGAATTATTCCTAAATGTAAGTGTGATGATGTTAACAAATGTGAAATATGTGTTCAAGGTAAAATAACGTGTAAACCACATAAATCTGTTATGCGAACATCTGAATTACTTGGTCTTATACATTCTGATGTGGCTCATCTGCATAGTAAAGTTTCACGTGGAGGGAACAAGTACTTTGTGACCTTTAGAGATGATTTTTCGAAATATGCTTATGTATACTTAGTAAAAAGTAAAGATGAAGTTTTAAGCAAATTTCTTATTTATAAAGCAGTAGTGGAAAACCAATTAAACCGAAAAATTAAAGTCCTACATTCTGATAGAGGAGGTGAATACCAAGTAGCAGAATTAGCAAAATTCTGTGAAACTAATGGCATAGTTCACGAGTTTACTCCACCATATTCGCCAGAATCAAACGGAGTAGCAGAAAGGAAAAACAGGACTTTAGTTGAAATGGTGAATTGCATGCTTATTAGTTCTAGTTTACCTGATCAATGGTGGGGTAAAGCAATCTTAAGTGCATGTTATTCTCTAAATAGGATTCCTATGAAGAAGATTAACAAAACTCCATATGAGTTGTGGTTCAATCAGGAAACCTAATATTAGCCGTCTCAAGGTGTGGGGTTGTCTCGCATATGTGAGAAAACCAAATCCAGAGATCACTAAATTAGGAAGTAAAACTTATAAATGTGTATTCATAGGTTATGCAAAAAATAGTACTGCTTATAGGTTTCTAAAGTTAGAATCCTATGATGTTATCGAATCAATTGATGCTGAATTCCTTGAAAATATATACAAGTCTTCAACTATACAAACTGAAAATAATACTACTCCTAGTTCTTCTAAGAGAATTCATGAAGAATCTCTTGGTGATACTTCTGTTGAACCACAATCGAAAATAGAACCTAGAAGGAGTAAGAGACAAAGGAAAGAAAAATCTTTTGGATCTGAATTTGTGACTTATTTGCTAGAAGGTGATGTAAATAATACTACACATCAGACTAAGCTAATGATCAATGATGATAGTGATCCTATCACATATTCAGAAGCTATTTCCTCTCGAGGTGCTGTACTTTGGAAAGAAGCAATCAATGATGAAATGAGATCCATTATATCAAATCAAACATGGAAACTGGTTGATTTACCTCGTGGTTCTAAACTAATAGGTTGTAAATGGATTTTCAAGAGGAAATTAAATGCAGATGGCTCTATAAATAAGTATAAAGCTCGATTAGTAGCTAAAGGTTTTAAACAACGTCATGGCATAGATTATTTTGATACTTACGCTCCCGTAGCAAGGATATCTTCCATCCGCGTGTTGCTATCTCTTGCTTCAACTCACAATTTAGTTGTCCATCAAATGGATGTAAAAACGGCTTTTCTAAATGGTGATTTGGAGGAAGAAGTATATATGGAGCAACCCGAGGGTTTTGTTTTACCTGGACAAGAAAAGAAGGTTTGTAAACTAGTTAAGTCTCTTTATGGCTTAAAACAAGCCCCTATGCAATGGCATGAAAAATTCAATAAAGTAATGTTGTCTAACGGTTTCAAGGTTAATGAAGCAGATAAATGTATCTATTCTACATGTAGAAATGGTACATGTACTCTTATTTGCTTGTATGTAGATGACATGCTTATTTTTGGTCCTAACTTAGAAAGTGTTAAGGAGACCAAACAATTGCTAGAGTCTAACTTCGATATGAAGGATTTAGGCGAAGCAAATGTGATCTTAGGGATTAAAATAATAAGAAAAGATGGATGCATATTGCTGAATCAATATCATTATATTGAAAATATCCTTAAAAGATATGGTCATATGGGTCATAAACCCGCATCAACTCCGATAGATCCTAGTATTAAGTTAATGAAAAATACTGGTAGATCTTATGACCAACTACAATATACAAGTGTGATTGGAAGTCTTATGTATGCTATGCACTGCACAAGACCAGATATTGCATATGCAGTTGGCATATTGTGTCGATTCACTAGCAATCCAGGAAAAGAACATTGGAATGCGGTTTCAAGAATCCTAAGATACTTGAAAGGAACTATTGATTATGGATTACATTATTGTGGATTTCCCGTTGTACTTGAAGGATACAACGATGCAAGTTGGAACAACATAGAATCGAATTCTAAATCCACAACAGGTTGGATCTTTACTTTAGGAGGTGCAACTGTTTCTTGGTGTTCTAAGAAACAAACATGCGTCTCAGATTCGACTATGTTGGCAGAATTTATTGCTTTGGCTGATGCAAGTAAAGAAGCTGAATGGCTAAGAAATTTGCTAATAGATATCCCATTGTGGGAGAAACCATCTCCAGCTGTGATGATCTATTGTGATAGTAAAGCTACTTTGTATTCGGTAGCAAACAAGACTTACAATGGTAAGCAACGACATCTCAGTATTAGACATCAGTCTCTTCGAGGATTAC